TGCATGAGGGCCGGGACCCTTGTTGCTCTTTATAGTGTTTCAAGGAGCCTCATATAGAGCCAGTATTTAACAAACCCATGCCAGAAGCCTGGCCAGCCTTCCAGGACCCCAACCCAAGGTGCTCATGGGACACACTGAAGATTCCCCACAGGGTACCCCAAGGACAGGCACGTGTCTGAGGTCAGCTAGTCTCCCAGCAGGCAACGGGCCAGGCGTTAGCTATCCCCCGCAGCAGGCACCCTCAGTACCCCTCCTGTCCTCCCAGACCATCAACCACCCTTAGAGAACATCCCTGAGCGTCACTGGCTATTCTGAACCCCAAACCATGAAAACTCCCCAGAAGCAACAGCTGTGGAGAAGACACACATGCACAACTGTCCTGCAGGGTGGCAGGTGTTCCAAGAGGATTCGCTTGTCAAAAGCAAAAAAGGCAAGAAAGCCAGACCAGGCCTGCTGAGTAGAGGACCTGGGCAGCAGGGCCCCAAACCCTGCTCACTCACACCGCGGGGGACCTCGGTGCTGTACACGGGTCTCCACAGCCAGGGAGTCTACACAGGCTGAGGGTCTACACAGCCCTCAGGCAGGGCCAGCAGGTACTGGCAGGGACAGGAGCTCCTCTCCTTCTAGGACTTCCTGGATGCCCGTTACAAAGAGGAGCCCAGACCCCCTTCACCTGGAGTGTTGGGTGTTATGAGTGTTCCTGGAAACAAGGCCGCTGCCCAGGGCCCCTGGAGAGCCACGTGGGCTGTTACTCCCGAGGGGCCTGGTCCCGAGCCTCATGGGGCAGTACCACATTCTGAAGCACAGGCAGACCTTGGCTGTGAGGCAGCCTTGACTGTGAGATAGCCCCGCTATTTTTGGAAACTAGTTTAAAGGGAAGGATTGTAAATTACCTCTCTATCACTTGAAGGGCATGTCCAGGTCTTTCAAAGGAGGTTGCGAAATAAAACCTTGACGGTTTCCTCCTGATTGGGAACTTGTGTCTCTTTTAAAAGCACATGAGCTGCAGCCACTTCTAATCAGGCTCTGTAGAGAGGAGGCGAGCTGGCCTTGAACTGCACATTAGTCAGGTGATTCTACGCAATTAAGTCACCCCATCGTGCTGGGACCTGGGAGCCCAGCACACCAACTCCTCATGGAATGCAGAAAGCTGCTGATCTTCACAGACCCCACTGAGAAATGCAGGCACGAAGGTGACATCAACCCTCTGCCCTTGCTCCTCCTCAGAAACACATTTGATGGCTGGTTTCAGACAAGAAGCCAGTGCCCATGAGGCTCCCGGGAACCCGGTTCTGCCCATCACCAAGAACCTGGAGGTCACCCTGAACTCAGAGAAACATTTCCCCTTTTGTTTTGGTTGTGTTTTGATTCTGAGGTTCGGTCACTGGGAACCAAATGACATAATACAAGGGTAGGCTCCAAGCCCTTACTAGTGCGGGCCCTGGTCCACACAGCAGATGCTGCTTGGATGAAGTCATCGCAGGGGAGTGACGGGAGAAAGATCACCCTCTCTCAATTGGTCCCTCGGGGCAAGCACCATAGGTGGAAGTGAAATGCTGACCTTTCAGTTTAAAGCCCCTGTGCCTCGCAGGTCACGTCCCAGGATGTTTGGCACACTGGAAGCCAAGGGAGGACTGGGGATGGAGATGAACCCTTAGCCACAAGCTCCTGTGGCCCTGACCTTCTCAGTTCCAAGTAACAGCAGGAGGTACTGCCAAAGGGTACAGGCTGTGCCCTGTAACAAGGACTTGCTTAGTCACAGAAAGTTTACATGCAAACACATCTCGCATGGTGCACCTGTTCCTTTGGTCTTCCTCGTAATGAAACAGACATTTAAGTGCTTATTCTGCTTGAAAATAAGCACAGAGTTTCCAAGTGAGGCTTAGACCCAGTCCTCAAAGAGCTTAAGGTGGGGACAAGGCAGGCCCAGGTGGGCTCAGTGTAGAGCAGACAGACTTGAGGGGCTGAAGAGAGCTGGAGATGAACTGTCCTAGGGTCTGGGACAGGCGGCTCAGACCATGGGCCCCTGTGTCTCTCAGTTAAGGGATGTGAGGCGTGTGGAGCCACAGTCACCCTAATGGGTGGGCTCTGAGTGTCCCGAGACAGCCAGCCAGTGCAACAAAGCTCAAGCATAGAAGTAGTCAAGCCCCAGTGCCCTGTGGCCTCCTGGGATTGCCTACCCTGCCACTGGGGGCCATGTGCAGAGGGTCACATCCAGGCAGGGCTCTGAGGGGAGGAGTCTGTGAGAGGGAGCCGTGGGTTTAGGAGGGCAGAGAGTGAAAAGGGTACACTCAGTCACCCCCTTATCTGAAGGGGATTGTTCTAAGACTCCCAGAGGACTCCCCAGGCTGCAAATGCCACCAAGTCCTAGGTAGACTATGCTCTTCCTCTCCATGCCTCCCTATGAATAAGTTTAACTTACAGACTAGGCACAGTAAGATATGAACAATGATAACTAATAATAAAATAAAACAAATAAAGCAGTACACTGTAGTAAAAGCTGTGTGAGTGTGCTCTCCTTCTCAGAATGTCTTATTGTACCATAATCACCCTTCTTTACCCTCCATGATGAGATGCAGTGAGATGAATGACATAGTTGTGTGACAATAGCATTAGACTACTATGAAGGTCACTTGAAGGCAAGCATTGCAATGCAATAGTAGTTGGCCCAATAACCAAGAGACAGCCACTAAGTGATAATGGGCAGGTAGTGTATAGTGCATGGATACGCTGGACAAAGGGGGTGAGGGGTTGGAACAGATTGCTTCAAGATTTCATCATGCAGTTTAAAACATATGAATTGTTTGTTTTTGCAGTTTTCCATTTAGCATTTTCAGACTACAGTTGACTATCGATAACAAACCACAGAAATGGAAACTGTGAAAGAGTGGGGACTACTGTAGTCAGAAGCACCCTGGGTGGCACAGGGGTGAAAGAGAGGGAATACATTTGGGAAAAAAGAAAAACAAAGGAGCAGAAGGAGATGAGAGAGGACAATAAGGACAAGAGACAAAAGAACCAAACCAGGAAACAAGACCCATAATAAGCTCACTTCCCAGGTAAGCCCTTACCTGCACCCAAGTTTACCCACTGCACCAAGGTTTTACGATGGCCATGTTATCTGATGACCACGAGGATCCTAAAAGGGCTCATTCACTCTTGTCACCAATGAGAACCCCACTCCACCACAGTATAGGTCTGGCCCACAGTCACCATGGGTGGTGGCTCAGCCATATCCTACCCACCTCCCTGTTATGTGGCTCCAGGACCCCCTGTTGAACTGAATCCCAAATACAGGTCTTTCTGTGTCTTCATATTTTCTAAAACTACTGAACCAAGACATCAAAATACTCTCCAAACAAAACCATCTTTGCAGCCAATTCTGGGACCTTCTATATAGAGACCCACCCACCGAGAGCCCAAGTCTTCCTTCCAGCAGAGGGGATAAAATAAAGTGGGCTGCAGAATGGTGAACTTCAAGGGGGGTGAAAAATACACCTGCCCCTGAGCATTTGCCCTTGGGAACTGCAAAATGGCAGAGGCTGTAGCCACAAACCTGCAGGGGAAGATGAAGAATTAGGCTGTGGGTCAAAGGGACCTGGAAGAGCCCCCAAATCAAAGGGCACCTTCTTCTGGGGAAGGGCAAACCCAAGTCCAGCAAAGTCAAAGGCTACCCAAGGCCACAGAGCTGGCCTTGCAGTCAACCCAGCAGCCTACCTTGTCCCTAGTCTAGACCTCGCCTTCCCAGTCCAGACACCGAAGCCCGCAGCCCTACTCTGCCACACAGCCTTGGACGCCATCACATCCTCACGGCATGTCACCATGACTGCTACCACGGTCCTGCCACCAGACAAGCAAGGACCAGGAAGGGGACCAGGAAGCCAGGCAGAGGAGCTGAAGGGGTCCAGAGGGGTGGGCAGAGCCAGAGGGTGTTCAGTCCAGAGGAATCAGCCAGAGGCTGATGAATGTCACCTTGACTCCACTTTCCTGGATCTCAAGAACAAGCAAGGCTGACCCACGGTGACAGCATCAGAGAACTGACAGTGTGTGGGGACTGCTCCCTGGGAAGGTGGGGAAGCTGATGATGACGTTCTCCACCTTGATCTGGGCTATGGGTACACAGTGATGTGGGAGGGAGTCCCCCAGCTGTGTATTTAAGACTTGCACATTGTATTGTAAGTTGTGCCTTGAAAAAAATCCATGGGAAAAAAAATCAAGAGTAGATCAACCCCAGCTGTGGCAGGAGGCTGTGTGTCTGTCTCACGTACTCTTTGCGGCTCAGTGGAATCCCACCGACTGGGTAGTTTCTGAAGAGAAGAAACATTTCTCACGGCTTTGGGGGGTGGAAGCCCTGGGTGAGGGGCTGGAATCTAGGGGACCTCCTTGCCCCTCTCATTGGGGGACAGGGCAAGCGATCCAGCCTGGGCCCTCTCCTCTTCTGGCAAATCCAGCAGTGCCATGGTGGGGTTCCCTTACCCACAAAGGCCCCAGCTCCAAATGTCCTCTCATGTGAACGTGGGATTCGTTTCCAACATGTGAACTTCTGGAAGGACACGGTCAGGCCACAGCTTTGCCCTCAGAAGCGTCCAGACACAGCCTCTGCGGCAGCTGAGTGAACTCGAGGGGGATTTGAGCCTCAGAAGGGTACCATGTGGCATGACTTAAGGACCCCGGGAACCTTGCAGTCCAAGGCTCCAGAGCAGCCTCCTGCTCACAGGATAGCCAGTGGCATCTGGGCCTCTGCCCAGGCAGGGTCTCTCCTTGGGTCTCCTGGGGATGGTGGGTGCCACTGCCCTCTATGTAGAGGGCTCCCTTCCTCCCCTTGTGTAGATAGGCTTATTTAAACATGGAATCACATGCTCCTCACCCTCCTCAAATCCTGCTGCAAAAACAGTTGGTCAAATGTCCTTGTCCAGAGAAGGACAGCTGTAAACCCCATTGTTCAGTTTGGTGACATAACCAAACACAGGTTCAAAGAATTCAGCCCCAAGGTCGCTCTGTTTGAGGAATTGACTGTGATCAAGGATTTATTCATCACAAAGCTGAAGCAGAAGGACTCACAAAGAACAAACACCGTCACGGCAATAAATCAAGGATTAGAGAAACCAGTTCAGACATGGAGATCCTCCCCAAGAGCTGAGGAGGACAGGACCCCTGATCTGAGCACCACCACACACCTGTCTACATGGCTCGGTCAGTCTTCACTCCCACCTGAGGAGGAGACTAAATTCCCCTCTGAGCAGATGGGAAGCTGGGGTCTCAGGCCCTGAGTGCCAAAGGACAGCTGAAGGACAGTCTGCCAGCATTCAAATGGGTTTTAGAATATAGCAGGAGACCCAGAGGGTTGCTCACACTTAGCACTTGGTCCCTGAGCAGCCCCCTTCCTGTCTGCATAAGTATCGCCAGGCACTGTGCATTAACGCACTTCCTCCTCACAGAAACCCTCTCAGGGAAACCACCTGTCCATTGCCATTTTAAATCTGAAGAAATCGAGACCCTGAGAGGTTCCAGAGGTCACGCAGCTGATGAGCAAAATGCTGATTTTGGCTTCTTAACCATCATTTGCCAGTGTCTTCCTGGAGAATGAGGGCCAGGGTGGTGACTGCTGTGTCTTCAGTGCCCAGCTGAGCACCTGGCACACAGTAGGTGCTCAAAAAGGACTGATGGAATAAATGGCTAGCTGGGCCCAGACTTGGAATAGTAGTCTTCTCCCGACCTCAGCTCATGGTAAAATAATAGTGCAGAATCACAATCCACCCAAGACTGGAGTGCAAGGGCTGTTCCCAGGAGCAGGAGAGAAGGCAGGTACGTCTAAGGGAGACTAGGAGGGCTGCAGTTGCCTGCATGGGTAAGGATCTGGAATCCTCTTATCTGGAGCCTGGGACTAATTGAGGCCAAAGTCGCCTCTTAGCACATCTCCCTGTATGGGGCACCAAAATCTCCGCCTGGGCAGGGCAAAGGTGTTAGTCAGCCAGGGTCCCTCGAGGACAAGGGGGCCAGAGAAAGCCAAGGCAGCGGGTTGTTCTCACTCCTCCTAGGCCACTGGCCTACACGCTGCAGGAGTGAAGGAGGGGTCCCTAGCCACCCCCAGAGCCGTGAGCATGTGTGTCCCCTTTTGGCAGCACCCCCCCACCAGAGCTGGGAAATCCCTGGCTTTGTGGCTGGGAGTCTCCCCAGAGGTGAGAATCCACAAGCTCCGCTGCTCCCAGGTCTGGGAAGAGCATCCTGCACGAGCTTCTCTCCCTCATCTGCAAGGGCCCTGAAGACACCCGAAAAGTAAATGCTGACTCAGCCAGTCTGGATCAGGTCTGAACCAGTGTTTCTACCAGGCTCTGGGCCCACCCAGCTACCAGTGGCACGTTGAGAAACCAGACTGTTGATGATGCTACTTTTGCGGCATGTTTTTTTTTCCTCCCCAAAACTTATTCTTCAACTAATCTTAAAGAAGTAAATAATTATAAATAGGTACGATGACTGATGTTCCATGAGGATATTTGTTAGGGTGCTCACTGCTAGTTGAAGACCTCCCATGTTCCAGGACCTGGGCTAAAGGTAGATGTCTACAGGGAGACAGCTCAACCAGCACTCCCAGCACAGGTGGTCTGCCCCTGGGAGAACTCCCAGAGGAAGTGTCACCAAGCCAGTGACAGCACAGGGTGAGTTGGGAGCCCCGTCCAGGACCTGCCTCACCTGCTCTTACCCGGACGGACCTCTCCAAAGGGCTTCCCCTCCATTGTCAGGGCCCACGTAGGAAATGATCATACCCGTGGGAGGTGAGTGGGGGGGATGGAGGTGAGTGAGCCGGGGGATGGAGGGGCTCCCCCCCCCAGAGACCCCATCCGGAGGCCCTGCCAAACCCGCTCCGCAGGTCTCCCCCAGAGGGATGCCCGCCACAAGGCCACCACAGGCCACGTGGAAGGCACTTTCTGAGTTTCAAGTCACTTTCACCTAGGTTTTCTCGTTTGAGTCCCCAGCCGGGGCAGGCGTCATTAACCCCGTTGCACTGGTGGGAAAAGTGAGCCCGAGATGACTCAGCAAGGCACAGGGGCCCACGCTGTCAGCACCCAGCGGGGACAGGCCTGCAGACAGCATCCAGGGCCGGCCCGCAGCATGGATTTCACAAAGAGGAAGATGCAGGATGTGGACGTGGGTACCTCCCTTCCTGGGGAAAAAAATGGCCACTTTCCGTTTTTCTTAAGTGCCCCAGATTCTTCCTACCCTAGCACTCAGGTGATATCCCAGGGACATCGACAAGCAGGGGTCCTGAAGGTGCCTGTCATCTTTGCTTCTCTGCCAAAGCAGCACAGCCCTGTGAAGGGAGTAGTAGAGCATCAGGAAGTCACAGGCACGTGGAAGAAAGGACTGCCTGCAAGTTGGACTGCTTCAGGACACTCCCAGGCTCCTTCGAAGCTGCAGCAGCTATAGGAAGAAAGCAGGAGGCACGAGGCCCTGGCCCAGACCCGGCCCCTCCATCAGCAGAGCTCTGGAAGGAGGCCACTTCAAACACCCACGCTGAACAATGCTGCAATATCTCTTTGTTTCCAGGGAGGTTTTCAGTGAATAACAGCTGTCAACAACTCAGGAAGGCCATGGCTGGGTCCAAGGCTTTCTTCTTCTGCAAGTGCTCTTTTATAAACTTAACACGGCTCTTTTCATCAAGGGCAAAATAAAGCATGTGCAACTATTCCAAAGGGGCCCAACGTTCCCGCCTACGTCTATACCTCTGTGCTGTGCTCACGTCTGGAGGTCAAGCAGAGGTCCTGCCTCAAGAAAACTGGGTTCTTAAGTATACTCTTGAAGGAGGGGTTTCTTAGAACCTCCCACCACCTCCTTTTATCTCAGTCAGGGCTTTAATGGAATAAGTGGCCGTCAGGGGCCAAGGAGAGGGAAGGACAGGAGCTAGTGTTTAATGGGGACCGAATTTCATTTTGGGAAGATGGAAAAGTTCCGGAGACGGATGGTGGTGACGTTTGCAGAACTACATGAGTGTGCTTAATGTCCCAGACCTATGTACGTAAAAATAGTTAAAAGGGTAAATTTTATGTTATGTATATTTTACCATAATAAAAACCACACGAGAAAAGAAGCTTCAAAACAACTTAAAAAAACTTGTCACCATGCTGAAAAGAATCTAAAAGGTTTTACAAGTTCATTATGCTGCTCTGTTTCGTATTCAAGAATAGACCGTTTGATTTTACCTAATTATTAACTCTGCATTCAAAGCACCTGGCTTGCTGCCCACATGTGGAATTGATGGACACCTGGGATGGCTACAGCTCAAGTGCCCCCAGGCTGGGCCTGCATCTGAATCACCACTCTCTGTCCCCTTGTGCTTCTCCCAGAAGTGCTCTGTAGTACTCTACAGAGTGCCCATCCTCTCATGTCCCACAAAGGGTTCAAGCACCCACTGCATGCCTCCACAATCGTGTCTCCTTAGTGTGCCCAGGTGACAGGCAGCAGGGGGAGACAGACTGCACAGGAGCCGCACACTCCTGTCCAGGGAATGAGGAGGGGCAGCCCTCCCAGACAGGCACAGATAAGAGGCCCTTGTCTGCACCCAGGGGAGGACAGGACCCAAGGGTCCTACTGCCCTTTCTCTTGCCTCCAATCCAGCAAACATTATCCAAGCCCAGCTGACAGATCCAGCCCAGACTCACTGCCCTCCCAAGTTCGGAGTCTCTCCCAAGTCCCATTCGGAGGAAGGAAGCAGAACCAGGCAAGGAAATACCATGGAAGAAGAAGTTTGCAACATATCTCCAAGTCCGAGGTCTCTGGCCTTACCATGCTGTAGAACTTGCAGGGCTGTGAACAGTCAGATCCATGGCGTCACCCCATCTCTTTGGTTCCAACTCAGCACATGGGGAGAGGGTCTGACAATTCCCTTGCTCACAAGTTCCCAGGTGATGCTGATGACGCTGGTCCAGGGCACAAGTACCTTGCTCTGAACAACAGAAATGTTTCTGCCGATGCCTCCCATGTGCAGAGACTTGGCAGCCTTTGCTGTTCACACCCCTCCTGCCAAGGGAATCAGCACCCGCTTTTACAGACCAGAAGCTGGGACTCAGGAGCTCAGTGACCTCTCTTGTGATGCACAGCTGATGCCTGGCAGAGCTGAAATGTTAACTGAGGTCAGGCTGAATGGAGTCCCTCGTCCACTTCCCTTCCCATCTTATCTGGAGACTGGGGCAGGCATCGAAGGGGCAGGAGAGGGTTCTTCACAGGGCTTCAGCACTGACACATGCAGACAAGCCAGCACCACATGAGCTGGTCGAAAACCCAGCCCTGTGGCCCCTGGATAGGCTAGCACCCCTTGCAGGGCAGACATGAGGCTATAGGCATCTGGTGTCTCAGCACTAGCAGAGGCCATGCACTGAGCTGGGCCACAGAGACTCAGGTGACAGGTGGACCTTACATGAGGCTTGTCCTCAAAGGGCAACAGGGCTCTCATTTGAATTACACGGCAGCTGGCCGTCCTCAAATCTGGAGTGCATGGGAAACTTGGCTATGCGGTAGACAAGGTCTATGCTCCGGAGATGGGGTTGGTTGTCTGTGGGCCTCTGCCAACTCAAAGGAGATGTAGGGAAAGAAACCACTGTCCAGGACAAGCCCTGTGAGCCAGACTGCTCCTCATACCAACCACCTGTGCTGGGAGGACAGTACAGAGAGGGGAGTGGCTTGTCCTAGGCTGCACAGCAACAAGAAACTGGGGAATGGGACTTGAACTTGGGTCTCCTGGAAAACAAAGATTGTAACTAAACTCTGACTGCCCTCCCAGAACCTCAAGTTCAGTGTGGACCGTAAAACCCTCTGGCCCAGCTTCCCATTGTGCAGATGTGACAGGCAGCCTAGTCAGAACTATCACAGACGAGGCTCCCATCTCCAGAGTACAGAAGTGCCTAACCCTAACCCACCTGGGCCGCCTTCTCCAGAGGACTCTGTCTGAGCAGCAAGAATGTTCTTGATGCCCTAATACCTTCCCTCCAAGGAGGAGATCAGTAAGAGCAGGGTCTCCCCTGCCCCATGTGGCTCTGAGCCACTGCCACCAGCCACACATAGGGGTCTTCCTCCCTCTCACCTACTTCCTTTGCTGGGCAGAAGAAGCTGCTCCCAGTCCAGGGAGAGAAGGCTTTTCAGGAGGCACGTACACCCAGATACCCTGAGCTGGAAGCCGCTCAACCTGACCTGTGATGGCAGAGAGCCTCCCAGAGCCATGGACACTGTCCACAGGAAGCAGCAGAGCAAACAAGCCCACCTGCCCGGCCCCAAGACCACTGCACACCTGTGCTGCAGGAGGATGGCCCTCCTCACCTACAAAAGCCGGAGGCCAGCCCTGCGCTGCAGCCCCGGGCCTCCAGGGCCCTCTGTGTTCTGTCTCAGCACTTCTTTCCACATGGGCCTGGAGAGCTGCCCCCAGAATTCCACATTTGCAACCCCCAGTACCAGAGAAGCCCTGCAGGGCAGACTGGGCTCAGCCTAGACTCAGACCAGTGTCTGCAGGAGTAATCTACCCAGGCAGAGGACAACGAAGGTTTTTTGCCTGGGGTAGTGAGAGAGACTTCTCTAAATCCTGTAGCCACCCACCACCCAGCACACAAGGCATTGTCATTTTTCCCCTCGGTGACCCCGGGCACCAGACACAGCTGGAGAAGACGCTGTCCTCTCTGTGCTGGGTGTTGCGTCTGGCTTCGTCTGATAGTTAGATGTTTTGTGTCTCCACGCAAATGCGATATAGACAGCTCATGGCTGGAAAAGCAGCACTCACAACCATTAGCGTGCACAGCCTCTGCTCCCAGCTCACTGCTGCCGCGCAGTTGGGGGGTCCGCCTTCCTGGGGCCTCAATCTGTCTGCACTGCTGCCACCGTCGCTAACGGGAGGGAAGCCAGAACGCCCGGGGAGACCAAGTCCCAGCATGCGGCGCTAAATGAAGGCAAGCAGTTGTCCAAAGTGAAATATTGAATTGAAATGAACCTGCTGTTTCTGGGAGAAGATGCTTTTGGCTTAGGCCACTTAAGAATAAAATCCAACCGACACATCTGTGAAATCGGAGGAAGGAGTACCCTGAAACGGTCGGCTCACAGCACCACTGAAAGCCATTCTGCGTGACTTCAGACACCTGATTTCAATGGGCTCAGACCTCAGTCTGTGGAGGTCAGGGAACCATGGGTGTTGTCACACCCGTGTGTTTTCACTGAGAGAGGACTGGAACCTTTCAAAAAGTAAGGCTTTCCCAGGGTGACCAGAGAGGCCCTGAGCCAGCTGGCTGTGGAAATCCTACTAGTGACCCTTCAGTTACATCCACCCCAATCAACGTGCACCAGTCCTGACCATTGACTCATGCGCTCGTTTTCAAAATGTTTGCTTGTACGCTCACTTGTCTGTCTCGGTCCATCAAACCCCCAGAGCCGGACACTCTGGTCTCATCTCCATGCCTTTTGCCCTATTTGCAGGAGGGGAGCCACTGGGGCAAAGCTGGCCAGCAAGGAGAGAATCAGGGATACGGTTGAAGTTGCCAGGCAGTAGACCATGATGGAGCTCAGGATCTGAGGGAAAGACACAGAAATAGGAAGAGAAGTCAGGGACACAGGAGTGAGGGCCAGATGAGGCTCAGACCCACCAAGGATCAAGTCCAGCTTTGAGACAGTACCTGGGCAGCAGCCTCTGAGAGGAGTGCACAGACACATAAGGCCCACCCCATAGCTCCTGCCACCACAGAGCACCCACTTCTCCCAGGTGACCACACAACCTTTGTTCAGGTCCAGTGCTGCAACCACTCCGAGACTGGCCATTGATTGAAATTAATAAATGTCAAAAAGGTAAATGAAAATTATTTAAATAAAACTGGATTTTAAATATAAATTTATGAAAAGTAAATGAGATTTTAATAAATATCCTTGTAAACAATACCTCCCGATTCTAGCATTAGAATAAATTGGCATCGCCCAACGTCTTGCCCTTGGACCTACTCGGCTACCAGTTCAGAAATCATAGAAACCATGGGAAGCCACTCCACACTCCTCACGGCCACCTGTGATTGCTGCGACGCCATGTGACTTCCCACATCTTCAGGAGAAGGACCCTACTAGAAGAGCAAGGTCCACACAACCTTTGCTTCAGCTCCAATGCTGCACCACCCCAAGACTGGCCAGGGCTGGAACGAGCCCCCGGGCAGCTGGGACTCTCAGAAATTTCCTTCTTCCATAGAGGATGGCTGATCCAGAAACCGAGCCCTGCAGAGCCAGGTAAGTCACACCAGAAGGCAAGAAGAGTCACCCCAGTACCCGGGATGAGTGGTCAGTACGCCCAGAAGACTCTGCCAAGGGACACCTGACCTGAGTCCCGAGGTTCAGACCACTTCACACGGCCCCTCTGTCGCCTGGGGTCCAGGGCTCTGGGCATTCTTAACCCTAAACATCCACCCCCATAACCATGGCCACTCAGGCCCCAGGAAACGCGTCTCCCATCCATCTCCACATTTTGTGCCTGGTCTTGGAATGAAAAAGAAAGCCTCACTGCCTCCAAGTGCCCCAGAGTTCTGCAGGTCATACTAGGACTGTTGATGTCCCCCGGGACGGTGGCCCAGGAGGGGAGGGGACTTGAGCAGCTAACCCAACACAGGGAGGAGGAAAGACAGGAGCCCTTGGCCTTCTCACTGGGTGGCAGGAAGGAGGAGCAAGTGACACTTGCATAACTCAACCATCCAGGAGAGCTGCTGCTCTAACTGCTCCTGGAGATGCGGGAAGTCACACGGCGTCGTGACAATCACAGGTGGCGTGGCCATGAGGAGTGTGGAGCAGACTTCCACGGTTCCCATGATTTCTGAACTGGTAGCCATGTAGGTCCAAGGGCAAGACATTGGGCGATGCCAATTTATGTCAGTGGCTGGGTGGGAACCGAATGCTAGAATTGGGAGGTATTATTTACAAGGATATTTAATAAGATCTCATTTACTTTTCATAAATTAACATTTAAAATCCAGTTTTATTTAAATAATTTTCATCTACCTTTTTGACATTTATTAATGCTAATTTGTACTTTTGCCTTTCCAGTTTTAATGTTTTATAAGAAAAAAATAACTCTCTTTGAAAATATATATGAGAAAATACATTTTTTATGTTTTTACATATACTTTCACATTTGTGATAAAAATATATTTAAATTGTGCATATTTCAAATACATTAACATTTTTTTAAAAAAATCCCTTAGCTCATTGTTATAAATAGAACAAAATTATGTGAAAATGTTCATTTTTAATGACAGGATTTGTGGTTGTGATGAAATGAAGGCAAAAAATTAATTTAGAGAACTATAGAGTAATTATAAATTATGTGTATCTTTATCTTGTTCATCATTCAAATAGAACAAAAGGACATTTAATAATTAATTCAGTCATCTTTGATATCTGCCCGCTTTGGGTCATGTAAAAAACTACAGCTTTACACATTTTTCAGTTTTGTCTTGAAATATATGAAAAAAATATGTGACTATAGATATTTTTTTAGCTTTATTTTGTTTGTTTATTTTTATGTGGTGCTGAGGATCAAACCCAGCACCTCACACATCCTAGGCAAGTTCTCTGTCACTGAACCCCAGCCCCAACCCCTAGATTTGTAAAATATGAGAACAGAGCATATTTTATTTAACTGCTTGTAGGCTTGATTCATGTTCCCGTGTGCAAACTTTAGAGGCAGGTGCTACAGGCAGGCTCTGTGGTGTAGAAAGAATCGATCCTCTCACCCTACAAACACAGAAGACCCTGCTGCACATTTTTCTTCAAATAACCAACTTTAGAAACTTCGAAGCACCTTCAGCTTTTATTCACAGGGTCTTGGGGCCTGGCAGGGACTTTCCTCACTGGCCTGCATGCCCCATGCAATGACACAAAAGCCATCCGTCAACATTTGTTAAAGTCCCTGGTCAACCCCACACTTCCTGCTGGGACTGCCTTCTCACACTTGGGAAGAGGACGCAAAGCCCCAGCAGAAGAGGCCTGGACAGTTTCACCAACAGCCATGACCCCCAGCAGACCTTACTAGCTTGGATGTCACCAGGGTCACATCTGCCAACTGCTGCAAACTGCCACCCCCACCCCCAGCAAAAGCATGTGTCTCTGGAAACAGGCCAGTCTTCCTAGGCCTCCTAGACACGCTGAGGCCACTGAGCCTTGCCGTGCAAGAGAAGGCCCGTGGACAGCGCCACAACAGCTGCGAGTCCTTTGTAGCAAGAAAGCCAAGAGGCGACACAGCTTCGTCACCAGGAAAGGAGAGAGTTCCAACCACCTTCTTGCCCGCATATAAAACATCCATTCCTCCCAAATGGCCAGATACAGTCTTGTCTTTGTCCCTAGGAGCCAATTCTGGACCCAGGCTGCCGCAGGCTCCTGCCCAGCCAGGGCCACAGTGCACTGACTACTCAGCACACTAAGTGCCTGCACCAGGCTGTGCGGGGGAGCTCTGCTGCCAGAAGACCCCTCCAATAACAGAGCCCCAGGAAGCATTGGGGAGAGGCCGTCCTGGTAGATTAGGGCGCAAGACTCACCAGGAAAGGGAGGCAGGCCTGCGTGGGAGCAGCCCCCAGGACCCAAGGGGCACGGGTCCTTAGGAGGAGGGGGCGAGCCGCTGTCCTCCCTCTCCACACTTTCCCCAGCGGGTGCCTTGCTCCTTTAGCTGAGACCCCTGCATCCCAAGAAACTGCCACTACCACATCGGCATATTCAGTCTCTCAACTCTAGAATAAGAGAGGTTTTTTCCAGGAATTTCAGGGTCAGGAAATAGGGAGTTTCCTATGGTGAGAAAAAAGAACAATATGTCCCTGGTGGAAGGAATAAAGTGGATGCTCCTGAAATCACTCAAAACCTTCTAGAATGGATTTGCCATGGATTTGCCAGTGTTGGTCATATCATTCCTCCAGGCAAATCTTGTGGGGATAATAATGCCCCAGAGCATTTTCAAATTTTGATTAGAGGTGAGCGGCGCAGTGTATGGACACCGGAGCAGACCATGGCACGCACCCCTGTGCAGAAATGACTCACCTAGGAGCCACTCGATAACCAGAAATAGTCATCACCCCCTACATACGTTCTTTATCTTTCAAATAAACAATTTAGAAAGAAAGATGCCAGTGTTTAAAAATATCAATAAAATAATATATGAACCAAAATTTGCATTTACCAGACGAAAATGCTGCACTCCTGATTCATACTCTGTTTCACTGTGTTAAATTTTTAACATAAACAAAATCCCCAAGCAGTGACAGAATGAGAGAATTGAAGTGGTTTGGGTCTTTGTCTTTGCATTTCTGTGCTATCATTCTCCTTTTAAGTCTGCAAAATTGTTTATCTGTCCTTTGAGAGATTCTTCTCATGTACAAATTTCATGTGTGTACACACATGTAAGTACATGTAAATGCTACCTTTTAAAATATTTTAAGTGTTCTGCAACTTGCTTACTTACTTGAACACTGCATGTTGGACATTGTATGATATGTCCTCTATTAGATCATACACTGATCCAACTTCTTATTGTTGATAACTGCATAATATTCCATTCAATTTTGATACACCCACTTTAAAAAAAAAGAATATGTTGTATTGAGAAGGTGGACAGATGAACTATCTATAAAGTGAGGAGAGAAAGTTCCAGTCTATTATGAATTTACTCTCAAAATGAGCCATGTCACTGAGCAAGCACGGACTGGGGGCCAGCTGTTTTCCACAGAGAATGCAACTTCTCCTGAAGGATAAGTAAGTAATCAAAAGGCACCACAGAGCTCATTTATTTTCTTAAAACTCAGCAGCTCAACAGTAACTGTATCAATTGTTTAGAACTTAGAACAAATTCTTTTTCATGGAGAGGGAAATCCTCTCACAGATACTAACCCCTTGTTGCATGGCGATGATAAACAGTAGTCTCCGAGGCTGGTTGGTTTTTCTCATCTTTAAATTCTCTAACTGTGTCATCACTGGCCCCAGGGAAGGCGCCTGTCCCCACTCTGCCCCGACTCTGCCCCGGAAGCCTCTGTGGAGGCTGTCTCTGGAGTGCCTTCTCCTGCCTCTCCCACTGTCTAAACTACGAGCATTCACCAAAGCTATTGGGTCAACTCCCTATTTTGAAACGGGCTGGCCAAGTTGAAGGGTGGGTTTCTATAACAAATCCAAGTCTCCCCGGGGATTCCTGCCCTCGAATGCCAGTCCAGTACCAGCTCCCCTGGAAGACAAAAAGAACATCGTGTGGACAGCCTCAGCCCAGGTCCCACAGAGGAGCGCTGGCCACACACCCACCAACGTCCAAAGCTCCACCTGATCCAGGGAGCTGCAGGTTCAGGGTGTCGGCACCTCCTTTTCCAAATAGGAAAACTAAGGTCCAGCAAGGGGAGGGGGTGAAGTGCTGGGGGCCTCACAGCTAGTAAGCAGAAGGACCCTGCTTGCACCCAGCCAGCTCAGCTCTGGATCTGCACCTTGGATAATTCGAAGTCGAGCATGACCACTAATCCCCGACACTCCAGGATGGGGAGGCTTTTCAAGTTTATTGGATTTTTCTCCCTTAGTTGAGGGATTTGAGCAGCAAGACTCTGGCAAGAAAGATGGACTTTCGGTTCTCTTCATGAGACTACCTAAGAATGCGTCAGAGAGGGACACAGGAGTGACCCAGTGGCTCTTCCTCCTCGCCAGGCGTGACATCCCCCGTGCACCCTTCCCACAAACACTGCTGAGCACGTGTGTACACCATATGCCCACCCCCAGGAAACTCCCCACTTCCATTCTACACAGAGCCACCAAGAAAACTACCCCACTAAGAGACAGCAGGACACACGCAGGCTCGCCTGGGTCTTTAGTGGACGAGCCTTCAATGTGGAAAAACATCTGGCTGTCCCCACAAGTAGGAGACAGAAGGAGCCCCGTCCAATTAATGACACGCTTCCTCCCTGCAAATTCTCTCCCCAGCAAGGATGCACTTGGCCTGGGGGTTGTCTAGCCTCTTGCAGTGCTGGCCTAGCAGTTTTCTGCAGGGTGTTGGCCCTGGCCTCTTTTATTTCCTCAACTGCTCACCCCAAAGCACAGCCACCTCCAGAAAGGTTGGCACTTCCCAAGTACAGAATCCCAAGTTTCTGAAGCCATCTGGCAGTTCCAGCACTCAACTTTTCAGGACCGACACAGCGAGCTGGGCTTCTGCTACTCCAGGGATGCTCTCATATTCTGGAGACTGGAACCTCAAGCTTTGGAACTCAGACCCGTTTCCTTCCTAAACTCCCCTCCCAGCTGGCCTCCAGCAAGCCTCCTCCACAGGGGCCCCAGCAGGAGCAGCCCCAGTGCCTCATGGCTGGATCACTGCATGCAGTCACGTAGAGACCACAGCTGCTGCCTGGGCGAGCGACGGCCAAGAAGAGTTCAGCCTGAGATAAAAAGTTGAGGCCTGAAGGGGGTTTCAGGCCTTCTTTGCTTCCCTTCCCCTCAAGGGATCCATGTAACGGCTGAGACTTTCCCCCTCCTGGGGGGCGAGGGGGAGGGGGCTGCTGCAGTGTTTTGTGCCCCATTTACTCAGAACCCCCTGCAGACTCCAGAGCACCACAGGGGCTTCCCTGAGAGGAGGAAAGGCAAGGTCCCCTCCTCGGCTGTCTTCTGGATGACACCACCTCTGCTCCGCCCCTGTGGTGGCCGCCCTTCCCTCCTTCAAGCTCTGAGGCCACTTTCTCCAAGGCCAACCTTTCCTGGCCAGGTACCTTGGACGGAAACCCCTGCTGCTGCAATGGTCCAGGAATAATGTCCTCCCTTGGGTGCCTCCACGGAGCCTGCAGTGTCCTTCCCCCTGCACCCAGGTCATCAGAGCTGGTCCATGAGCCCCTCATCGTCACCAGGCTGCAAATCGCCTCTTTTGAAGAGCTGGTTCTGTGCCCACTAGGCTGCTCTTGGAGGCCTCCTGAGGAAACTGAGGCATAGAGAGTTGAAACGGCTTAGCCAGGGCCACTCGGGCAGCAGAGGTGAAAAGCCAGACCTGGGTGCTCCTGACCTACCTCTTCGCCCCACGCCACCATACCTCCGGGCAAAGGTTGAGAGGGGCTTGCTCTTTAGAAATGGAGCCTATGTATACTAAGGTGGAGGTGGCAGGTCAGGGGGTGGGCTTTGGGCATCTCTACAGATGCACCCACAGCCTGGTTTCTATTCACGGCTCTTCCCAAACACACCTTCTATATCCAAGTCGCTCAGCAGTGACCAAGAGACAGCGTAGCCCACGAATCACAGATCCCTGTGCCCAGCGAGTGCTGTGAACCTGGCTTCAAAGGAGGATTCCTGTCTCAGCCTCACAGCTGAGCCCCCATGAGGCCCATCCTCATCTTCCCCACCCTTCCAGGGCCTTGGGCCCTCCGTGTATGCCATGTCCAAGACAGCAGCCATTCACCACAGTGACCGGCAAGCACACGGTTCAAACTGAGACGTGCCCTAAGAGCAAAATACCAGATTTCAAAGACAGCCGGGGGGAAAGAATGTCAGACATTCTTAGTTATAAGTTTTATGTTGACTACTAAGGAAAATTGCAATATTCAGATGTGTAGATATAAATAAAACCTAAGGCTAAAATTAATTTCACTAGCTGCTGCTTCTTCTTCTTCTTCTTCTTCTTCTTCTTCTTCTTCTTCTTCTTCTTCTTCTTCTTCTTCTTTTTTCCTAATGTGGCTAGTAGGGAATTTGAAATGACACACGTGCTCTGCATTACCTTGCTCCTGGACAGTGCTGCTTTGGAGTCTTTGCTCTCCATAAGGAGCAGGATCACTCTCCATCACCCAGGATTTGCCGGCAGACACTCACAAAGCACCAGGATGAAGTCAGGGGGCCTTGCTGGCTCTCGGGCAGACAGGCTCCTGCTCCTGGGCTTGCCTTGTCCAGGGTTTGTCTGCTCCTACAGAGACACAGAACCACTTTCACTGAGGCAGAATCACATTCCTTGGAGATATTTTGGAGAGACAGGTTGGGAGGACTTCACAGAGCAGAAAGAATGTCCCGGATCTCAAGTTGGGGTCTCTAACCTGACCTATAACCCAAATAACGGCGGCTTTTGAGAGGGAGATCCACAGCTTCTCTGAGATGATTACACAAGCACCCATGGTCCAGGACTGTGGGGCAAGCTGCACCAACTCCAGGACCAGGCACCTTCCAACTAGTTACTCTGCCAAAAAACCAAGTCCTGACACCAACTGCACAGCCATACCAGCCAGAAAGGCAGGGGGAGGCTGGGCGTGGTGGTGCACACCTGTAATCCCAGAAGCTCAGGAGGCTGAGGCAGGAGGATTGTGAGTTCAAAGCCAGCCTCAGCAGAAGCAAGGCGCTAAGCAACTCAGTGAGATCCTTTCTCTAAATAGGGCTGGAGATGTGGCTCAGTGGTGAGTGCCCCTGAATTCAATCCCCGGTAAAGAAAGGAAGGAGGGAGGGAAGGAAGGAAGGAAGGAAGGAAGGAAGGAAGGAAGGAAGGAAGGAAGGAAGGAGTCCCCAGTCACATGGTCCACCAGGCAGAGAAGAAGACCTCACTTTTAGCTGTGTGTCCAACAAAACCTCAGGGCTTTTGGACCACCAGAATCAGAGATATGGGGAATCAGCTCACGTTCTCTACTGCTGAGGTGGACGTCATAGGTAGGTAGAATCTAGTAGGTGGAGAAAAGCGGGGAGATACCAGGCTGCCCCAATGGTGGTAGCTCCACACCTCGGTGGAACAAGGCCTCGAGAGTCAGCATGGCCAGGGGTGTGAGGGAGCCATCTGGGGGTGGAGAATGGCCATCCTCTAGAAAGTGCTTCTTAACAGCCAGAAGCATGATCTAGCTTCCTGAGCTGCTTCTGGAGAGCAGCTAAACATTCCTCTCAAAGCTCCGGGAACCTCCTTCTCCAGGAAGAGAGTAGATTGGGAGTCAGGGGCCAAAGTGCAATGAAGGCCCCTGAGCCTGTGCAGGAAAGGGCTGGAGGGGAAGAAGAAGGCCCTAGGGTCAAAAAGGGAGGCTGCTCAAGGCTGGGCACTACAAAGACCCCGCCAGGAACAAGCTGAATGGTCGAGAAGACCAGGAACTGCTGTCTCACTGCCAGCCTGGGTATGCCAGCCAGACTGTGAGTCTCTCCAACGAACTCATCTCTGAGCCCCTGTTACACCTACAGAGACTTCCATGACCTATGGGTTTCTTGTCTGTCCCTCTCACCAGAATGTGACACCCATTGGACTGAGGCTTGCCCTGCTGACTCTTGCATTCCCAACACATGGAATAGTGCCTGTCGCAGAGCAAGCACACAATACATATTAGTTAGATGAATAAATGAATGATTGGCATCACAATACAGCAGTTTCATAGCACCCATGAAGATACCTGAGAATACGATGCTCTGGTGACAAATTACTACCAAAATTGGTGGCAGACACAGTGATAACAGCAATCTCTGTGCAATACTTCACCATTGGCCCGTGTTCTCAGCAGGACGTTCTCCATTTACAAATGAAGGCCCTGACACTCAGCCAAGCTGCTGCACCTAAGGCCACCGGGGAGGAAGACACAAACCAGGATTCACACACATGTCTTCCCAGCTCCACAAGCCTGTTCTTTCTACCCAATCTCTGGACTCTGGATCAGCCATAGATAAGCCCACATCAGAGGCAGCAAGGTCTCTAGTGCAGGTGTTGAGAAAATGGGTCTTCCTAAGGAGAAAGACAAACTGGTCTTCACCAAAACTTGAGCAGGAGCCAGGTGCCATCGCAGGTGCTTTCTGTCTGCTGCCCCCCTTCATCTTCATGGTGACCCCATGAGACTATCACTTATTTCCATATGGGAGTTAGTAGAACTCTGAAATTGCCTTTGCTGGTCTCTAGATGCCAGATCACTGAACCACCAGAGAGGAATCGGGTAATCCCAGTGTTTGGAGCTGGCGGGAGCAGCTGGAATAAGAGGGAGACAGATGTGTTCCAGCCAAGAAAAAACCTGTGGTGGGTAAACAATGCCGGATCTTTAGTAGGGGATTTAATTTCTCCATATGCATTTTTCTTATATTAAAAATGGTTTCAGCACTAACCCCTCCACCCTCAGTGGCACGGTATACATGCTGCGCTAACATCTGGAAATAGTTGGTGGTATTACAAACAAATAGTTAAAGAGTTCACCCAGATAATCAGAGACAAATTTGACTCTAACTCAGATTCAAAACAGCACATAGCGAGTGAGCCCTGGGCTCCACGCTACACTACCCTCCTCTGTAGCAAAACGAACATGGCTGGTTCTGCTTCCTGGGCCTGGAAGATGTGCGATCATCAATCTGTTTCCCACTGCCAGGCTCAGTGCAATTCAGCAGACACCAGGCCACAGGAGCCCAGGCTGGGCAGGACCCTTCATGAGACAGGGTAGTGACCGAGAAAAACTGGAGGAGGCTCAGTCCAGGGAGCCGGGGGCAATCGGAGGACAGATGGGGGCGAGGGTTGGGAAAGGTCTAGGACTGAAGGACAGCACCAATGACTAGGCTCCAAGTGTTGGAGCCAGGCCATCAAGAGGACCAGCAACTGCTCAGGGGCTGGGTCATGGAAGCCCAGGAAGCCACAGTCAGGACACAGGCCAGGCTCCCAGTGCTAGGTAAGACACTTGCTCAAGGCTACCAATGGAGTCAAGCTAGACAGGCACACTGAATGCAGATCCCCACGGGACTGAACACACTCACAGACCCGGCACCACAGCCTGGACCTCCTTGCCTACTGTGGCTGGACTGTCCCCTTCCTTGTGTGTCCCTTGCCTCCAGAAGCCCAAGCTTCATCCACGCATCACCTGCTCCCTGCTTCAGCTCACCTCAATGGACCCCATCGGCTACTCCCAAGGTGGATGGAGATCACAGTGTCACTGGGGCCCTCCCATTGCTACCACTAGACTGATGATCTCCCAAGGAACACACCTGCCATGTCCACAGCCCAGTGGTACCAGGGCAGCCGGCGGGTTGCCAAGAGACCAGAGAAACCATGCTGCAGTTCATGGTCATGTCAGTGCCACATGAGGGAAGAGTCCAACCGTGGCTCCTCCTCTCTAGGGCTTGGTAAACAGACATAAAAAAGCTGGCAGGTCAAAGTGACCTGAGTAATGCTGGTGATGTGGCCTCACAGCAAAGAGCTTGGGACAGGAGACCCCCTCTGAGGAGGTGCATCTTCACTCAGACCCAAAGCCAAAGGGCTACTATTGCCTTGGCAAAAGCAAGATACAGAAGAGCAGGGGCTGAGCCAGTTGAGGATCTTCGCCATCCACAGTGACCATGTTTAAAGGGAGGGCGGCTGACCCCACTGGCTGGCTTGTGGCGTGTGGAGGTAACTATGTGGGACATTGCTCTGTACTCCCATCCAAGCCCAGGGCTCCCCGCCTGTACCAGGGAGCACCTTCCTGTCCTGCACAAGCATCCACTGGCGGTGATGATGCCAGCTGCCCCCCTCTAGACTGCCCCATCCTGATCCCACCTCCATCACACAGGGACCAGCAGACAAGTCACTCAGAGTCTCCCAGCTCCCTCCCTTCACCCCAGAGGCGAGAACACAGCCCTGCCTTCTATGGCTGCCTTGGATGCCCGAGGCCTGTGTGCCCAGGACTAGAATGCAGTGTGCCCTGCACATCAGCGGCTGCCCTGGCTTTGGATTTGTTCACTCCCCGGTGGATTTACGCAGTGTCCTACATTGCCTCTCTGGCCCGCCGCACACATAAGGGCTTAGACAGAAGCAGACACAGCTAAAAACCAGCTCCAGCCCTGCGAGGCCCAGCCTATGGGCACATACTCATGCATGGAGGTCCTGTGCAATGGCCGAAACGGAGCGTCCAGGCCGGGGACGGAGGGGCCTTGAATGAATACAAGCATTTCATCTTCAGGTGGAATCTGCTCAAACAGGAGCACATTGCCCCTCCTTTACCCACAGCCTTTGCTTCCCCCACCCTCAGGGTCCACCTGGAGTCCAGAAGGCAGTGAGGGCTCAGAGCGAGGATGGTCCCTCGTTGGCATCCTACTGGCTGGGCTCTGCAGAGGCAGCTCTGCTTTCTGCATTCTGAGTCCACAGCATGAGAACAGAGGCAGGTTCAGCTGGCCTTCTTTAATAAAACAAAATAGGCTCAGCCACAGTAAGTTGGAAACTGCCCTCTGGGGAGCAGCTGCCCGCCTCTGACACACTCCCTTGAGACTCACGCTTTTAAAAGGAGATTTAAAATCCACTGATAGTAAATGCACTCTTCAATCACATCGCCACAGACTAGGCCAGAGAGTCGCCATGACGGACTCATGGCCCTGCTGCGGGTCTCCTCCCTTCCCCCCTTGGCCCCTAGGTCGTAACCAGCTTTCTCGGGTTTGGGGTGGTTGCTGCTGATTTGGTTTGGGTTTTTCCAGGCATTTAGGTGATGCCTGCCCTTTTCCCTGCATCATGGACTGCCTGGTGCCACTTAACACGAGGAAGCCAATCACAATGCACCACCACCAACTGGCCCCACTTCTAGCAAAAGCTAAGGTGGACCAGCCTCGCCCCTGTCCCAAGAGTGCCAGGCCCAAGCCTCTGGTCACCATCCCATTCTGCACAAGAGGGAGTAAGAAGAAAGACACACCAGGCCTTCCCCAAATCAGCTATGGCAAGGACTGCTGGTGGCCAGACAAAGCCAGACCACTGCTCCCCAGAGCAAGGCCTTTTCCCTGGGCACATGCCACCCAGAGAAAAGATGGCATTCCCAGCCTCCTTTGCACCACGGGAGAAGCTAACAGATGGTGGGGTATACACAGAAGGTCCTGTGGCTGCATGTTGAGCTGCTTCTTTGTCACCCCCCTCCCACTGGCCTGAAATGTGGAGTCTCCTTCTTGGTTTCCCTAGGTTGCCAAGGCTGGCCTGGAACTTGCCATCCTCCTGCCTCGGCCTCCGAGTCACTGGAA